GTGATTTGACCCAAAAAAGATAAAAAGATAAAAAAAATGGACTAATATGGCACTTCTTAAACAACTCTTTATTCGATGATCCATTTTTAAAAAGTGTATTTTTTAAATATTTTCAAGAAAAATTCTATTAAAAATCTTAAGAATATTGCTTTTTCTTTTGCTCATTAATATTAAACTTTTAATTAATTTTATTTAGTATTTAAAAAAATAAATTAGCAAACAATTTATATATTTATACATATAATTTCTTTTTGGTTGCTCAGGTTATTTGGTGTTTCTGCCCAAGTCCACTCAAATTTAATTTAAATTTTTAAATTTCTGTATAGGTTCTCACTTAATTAAAAATTATATTGTTCAATCTTTAAAAAATTTTAAGCTCGACTCAAATTGCTTGGGTTGAGCTCACCTAAGTTTACAATTCTAACAAGGGGGTTCAAAGTTACATAATTAAATTTGTGACAAATTAAAAAATAATAAATAAATTGTGATAAAATTGTGGGACTTAAATTGTAAATTTCAATTTTCTTTGTTTTCATAATTGGCATACAAAAATTTAACTATTTATATTATGAAAAATGCCTCAGACCCCCAGTGGGGGTCACTGGGGGTCATGAATGGTGGCTTTCCATTGGTTAAAAAAAAAATTGTTTTTTTTTTTTTTTTTTTTTTTTGTTTTGGAGGAAAATGATTCTAGCAAGGGGGTTCAAAGTTACATAATTAAATTTGTGACAAATTAAAAAATAATAAATAAATTGTGATAAAACTGTGGGACTTAAATTGTAAATTTCAATTTTCTTTGTTTTCATAATTGGCATACAAAAATTTAACTATTTATATTATTTTGTATTAAAGTATATTATTAATTTTTTTACATGCCGTGCATAGCACGAATTACCACTAGTTTAAATTAAGGGATAGTTTTCTCTCGAGACCGTACAATGGATTTATTATAGGTCTCATTTTGATAATTTGAATTATTTAATGTATAGAATTCTTCGAACATTTCATGCCTGTCAAAATCGCATTGATTGAATATCAGTAATTCCTTGATCGGAACACATTTTTGTTAGTAATTTATTTTTAAAATCATATTTATCATTAATAAAAATATGTTTCGATCAAGAAGTTATCGATATCCAATCAATATGATTTTTTATAAGTATGAAGTATTCGGCGAGTTTTACACATAGAATGATTCGAATTAACAAAAAGTACCTGTAGCGGGCCCCGCGGGCCCCACATCACGATCCAGTCCATTATGTGGACGGAAGAGAAGCCTCTTTCTAAATTAAAAATAAATAAATAAAATTAAATTTAAATTAATAAAGTTTAAAACTTTTTTTTTATAATTTTTTTGTTAAAAAAATTATGAGAGATCAAACCAAATAAAACATTTCGTGTCAAAGCAATTTTGACTAAAAATTCAACACATTTTGGAAGAAAAAAATAAAAATATTTTCAAAAAACGAAAAAGAAAAACACCTACAAAAACGAAAAAATAGTGATTTGGTAGTCCAAGGGCACCCAAAAAAAAAAAAAAAAAAACACCAGTATAACCGTGGTATCAAGTTATTGGCATCCATCATTTAATTAGTTTATATTTTTTTATCTTTTATGTATATATGGCAAACCGTTGTTGAATTGATCATATAGTTTTATTGTATGGTGGTGATATCATGTCATTAGTATTATAATTAATATGAATTTTCACTCTAGTGACATCACTTGGTAATGATGTTCTTATCAATCACTAAATACTATGTCTTCTCTAACTTCTTATTATTCAACACACAATCATAGACCCTATTTGTCCACCAACTCATGCAATACCATTGGCAATGTCTCATGCGATACCATTCAGTTTGTTTGGTTTCGTTTTTTTTAAAATAGTTTTTAAAAAAAAATTATTTTCTTATTTTTCGTATTTTTTTATTTTTAATAAATTTTTTTAATATTTTAATAATTTTTTTTTATTTTTAGATATAACTAACATAAATATACTTAGAAAGTAAAAAAAATTATGAAAAAAACCTTTTAAAAATTCACTAAATACCAAAAATATAAAAAAAAAATACGAGAATTCAGTACATTTTTTGTATTTTTATCTATTTAATAATTTTTAAAAATATTTTTTCACAAATTTTTTACTTTTTAGGTACATCTAAGTAAGGTGCATCTAAAAAACTAAAAAAATTATTTACAATTTTAAAAATATTCACTAAAAACAAAAAAACACGAAAAACAAAAAAACTTAACTTTTAAAAAATTTAATCCAAAAAACATAAACCAAGCACATTGATTGGCAATGTCCTAAGACCATGAAATAATATCTCCACAAAAAGTGCCTCTGGAATTGGAGACGTTATTTGGGGGTCTACTCCATATTATTCATTACTTCATATTAGTTAAATGATGTCTTAAAATTTTAACAAAAAAAATTGAATTTCAAAATTTCAATCAATAAATTGAGACACAATATTGTCCAAAAATCAACATCGAATTTTTCCTAAAATTTAGACAAAAGAATGTAAAAATTGTCATAAAATAGAGGTCTCTCGTTGAAAAAATTACTCACTCTGTTTAGTTTCGGTTTTTACAATTCACTTTTTTAAATAATTTTACTTTTTCATTTTTCATATTTTTTTTATTGAATTTTTTTAATATTTTGAATAATTTTATTAATTTTTAGACACACCTAACATAAATATACTTAAAAAGTATAATATTTGTAAAAAAATCTTTTAAAAATTCACTAATGTTATGTTTGGTTAGGGGATTTGAGGAGGGATTTAGAAAGCGAAAGGGAAAAATTAAGAGAAATGTGAATAAAATATACCTATATTTCACCTAATTTCACACACTTTTTCTCTTTTCCTTTATAAATCCCTCCCCAAATTCTCCAACCAAACACAACGTAAATACCAAAAATACAAAAATACAAAAAAAAAAAAAAATTTAGTACATTTTTTATATTTTTGTGTAATTATTAATTTTTAAATTTTTTTTCCCAATTTTTTTTGGATACATCTAAATAAGGTGTATCTAAAAAAGTAAAAGAATTACTTAAAATTTTAAAAATATTCGCTAAAAACAAAAAACACAAAAAATAAAAAACTTAATTTCTAGGATTAATTACAGAAAAAAATCCTAGAGTTTCGCGTGTCTTTCAATTTAAACCGTAGAATTTCAATTTCGACAAATTAAACCCTAAAGTTTTATTCGTATTTCAATATAAACCCTTCGTACATTTCCTTCATATTAAACTAAGGAAAATCTGGGCATAATTTCAAATTCAATCCCACATGTTCAAACGCTTATATCTCCCTCGTCGTAACTTCAATTTGTCTCATTTTTGCATCGTTGGATTCACTTCATGGCGTAGTTTTCATTCCACTCTTCATACGCATTGTTCCACATCTTTTTACTTGCCATCGGAGCTCCGAAAGTTGGTCAAAAATACGATTATTTTCTCTTTAGGCAAAATTTTCAAATTCAAATCCACATATTCAAGCACTTGTATCTTTCTCGTTGTAACTCTATTTTACTTCATTTTTGCGTTATTAGATTCAACTCATGGCCTAATTTTTATTCCACCCCTCATATGCCTATTTCTTCTCTTTTTGCATGTCGTTGGATCTCCGAAAGTTGGCCAAAAATAAGTTTTTTCTCTTCTTTTTTTTGTTTCTTTTTCCTCCTCCTCCACGGCTGCTCCTCCTAGCTTGCTGCTGCTGCTGCTGCTGCTTCATCATTATTATCTGCAAAATGAGGTGGTGGTGGTGGTGGTGGTGGTAATGATGGCAGTGTCGTCAAGAATTGATAGGTATACAACTACACATACAAATCAAAAACCAAATGGGTTGGTAAACATATTAGTGTGCCTTAGTTTCTAATCAAGCATAATCCATTGCATCTCCACTGCCAAGAATAATGTTGCAATAGTAGCAAGAAAAAACCCCCCCAAAAAAGAGAGAGAAAAATCTTATTTTTAGTCAACTTTCAGAGCTCCAACAGCATGCAAAAAGAGGTGTATATGAGGAGTGAAATAAAAATTAGGCCATAAGCTGAATCTAACGACGCGAAAATGAGGTAAAATGAAGTTACGACGAGGGAAATACAAGTGCTTAAATATGTGAATTTGAATCTGAAATTTTTTTCCAAAGAGAGAAAAATCTTATTTTTGGCCAATTTTCGGAGCTTCGACAGCAAGTAAAAAGATGTGGAGTAAGGCGTATGAAGAGTGGAATGAAAATTAAGCTATGAGGTGAATCCAACGACGCAAAAATGAGACGAAACAGAGTTATGACGAAGGAAATACAAGTGCTTGAATAAATAGATTTGAATTTGAAAATTTTGCTCAAAGAGAGAAAAATCTTATTTTTAGCCAATTTTTGGAGCTTCGACAGCAAGTAAAAAGATGTGGAACAAGGCGTATGAAGAGTGGAATGAAAATTAGGACATAAGGTGAATTTCACGATACAAAAATGAGGCGAAACGGAATTACAAGAAAGAAGATATAAGTGTTTGAACAAATAGGCTTGAAACTGAAATTCTGCCCAAATTTTCGTTAATTTAATACGACGGAAGGATTAGATTGAAACACCGATAAAATTGTAAAATTTAATTTGTCAAAATTAAAATTTTAATATTTAAATTGAAGCCAATTATTTTTATAATTAATCGTAATTTATAAAAAAACTGAATTAATTAGTCCTAAAAAAAAAAAAAAACTGAATTAAAAAACTGAAATAAAAACACAGGTGGGTTTGCTTTCAACAACAATAATTCATCCCACTAAAAACAACACCACTAATAGCACTAATGCATTAAAAAAGTAAAAAAAAAATAAAAAAAATACAACTCCAAAACCAAAACATCACATCATTAATGACGGGACCTACTACCACCTAATTAGTAGGAGCACTAATTAGTGCCCCAAGCATTTTTCTTGCTTTCAACTGTAAATCAGACGTGGTAATTCCGACACCATTCACCACCGACAGTCTCTGACTTACCATCAGGCTTCCTTCCCGAGGAATCCAATTGTTCTTCTTCCCCATTCCCATCCAACGTCTCACAATCCCTCATCTCCTTCAAATCTAATCAACCACCCTCCGCTTACATCTCCACCCTCTCTCAACCCCCAAACACACACGACTTCACACTTCACTCCCTCAGATCTAAAAACCCTCTCTTTCTCTACCCATTCATTCATTCACTCACTGCCAATATAGAGAGAGAAAATTGAACCTTCAGTTCCAATTCTGCCCATGGTGGAAGCACAATCATGGACCACACGGCGGGGCAGCAACCCTCGGCTCGACTCATCGGCGGCGGACCAAGTCCTCGACATTCCGGCGACACCCACAGACGGCGTACGCAACAACAGCCACATTGGATCAATCCTCTCACCAAACATATTAACGGCTGTGATCGTCTTATCACGGTACTTCTCCAACATCGGAGTTCTTTTACTCAACAAGTACCTCCTCAGCATCTACGGTTACAAGTACCCAATCTTCCTTACCATGCTCCACATGCTATCCTGCGCCGTATACAGCTTCGCCGCCGTTAATTGGCTCGAGATTGTTCCTTTCCAGCAAATCTTATCTCATCGCCAGTTCTTCAAAATCTTCGCTCTCTCCGCCATTTTCTGCTTCTCCGTCGTCTCCGGCAACATCTCTCTTCGCTACCTACCTGTCTCCTTCAACCAAGCCATTGGCTCCACCACTCCTTTCTTCACTGCCATCTTCGCCTTCCTCATCACTTTCAAGAAAGAGTCCCCCCAGGTATTTCAATTCATAATTCCAAAAGCAAATTACACTATTAATTGAATCATAAATTTGATCTTTTCAATGAATAATCTCATATTTTTACAACAGTTTTAACAGCTCTTTAAAAAGGAACTCGTTAGCCATTATAATAATTTTTTACTACTAGTTAAAATAAGATTGAAGAATCTTGATTCTTTAAATTAATTTATGTGAATAATATAAAATAAAAGTAGCGATAAAAAATTAATTAAGTAAAATAATGAATATAATTTTTTTCATACTTTAATTAGTAAAAAATGAAGAGTAGCATGGTAGTTATTTTTAGAATCAAAATTGTAAATTTGATCAGTTTAATTATTTAACTTTAAGTGCAATTTTATGTCAAAAAAACTTAACTATTTATTGGATTAAATTAATGTAAAATTTAAAATTAAGAATTAAAATAAAATCAATTAAAATTATGGAAACTAAAATGACACAGATATAGTGTAATGATTATCGGTTTAATTTGTCATAATTCAAAATTTTAAATTTTAAATTTTAATCTAAATTTTAAATCATGAATTCCCAAATTAATTAATTTATGTAAATAATATAAAATAAAAGTAGGAAAAATTAGTTAAGTAAAATAAAGAATATAATTTTTTTTTCGTATTTTAATTAATAAAAAATGAAGAGTAGTATGGTAGTTATTTTTAGAATCAAAATTCTAAATTTAATCAGTTTAATGATTTAACTTTAAGTGAAATTTAATGTCAAAAAATCTAACGACTTATTGGATTAAATTAATTTGAAATTTAAAATTAAGCATTAAAATAAAGTCAATTGAAATTAAAATGACACAGCAATATAGGGTAAGGATTATTGGTTTAATTTGTCATAATTCAAATTTTCAAATGTTAAATTTTAATCGAAATTTTAAATCATGAATTCCCAAACAAGGTCTACCTCGCTCTGGTACCGGTAGTTTTCGGAATCGTATTAGCCAGCAACAGCGAGCCTCTGTTCCATCTCTTCGGCTTCCTCGTATGCATCGGCTCCACATCCGGTCGAGCCCTGAAATCAGTGGTTCAAGGCCTACTCTTAACCTCCGAAGCCCAGAAACTACATTCTATGAATCTACTTCTCTACATGGCTCCAATGGCAGCGTTGATTTTACTTCCATTTACACTCTACATTGAAGGGAATGTGCTTGCGATTACGATTGAGAAATCGAGGAACGATTCGTTCATTGTGTTTTTGTTGATTGGGAATGCGACCGTGGCCTATTTGGTGAACTTGACGAATTTCTTGGTGACGAAGCATACGAGTGCGTTGACGTTGCAGGTCAGTGGCAGTTGAAGGTTTTTGGAGGCCTTACGCTTAACACCAAAATGTGGCGTTATTTAACTAAGCCACAATAAAAAAATAAAAAAAACATTGAATTTTGTTTGTGGGCCTTAGGCGACTATGCCTAATGGTTGAGCCACCTCCGTTGCAGGTGTTGGGGAATGCAAAAGCGGCGGTGGCAGCAGTGGTGTCGGTTTTGATATTTAGGAATCCGGTGACGGTGATGGGGATGACGGGGTTTGGAGTAACGATGATGGGTGTTGTACTGTACAGCGAAGCAAAGAAGAGATCTAAAGCTATAGCTCATTGATGGCCGACCACAAGGGTACGATTCTTTTTCTTTAATTTGATGTTTACTTTTGATAAAGATCGAATCGGGAAAATTTCAACGATTCGATTTTATAGAGAATGATCATGATGGGATAGGGCAAAGGGGTGGTTTAAGAATTAAGAGGAAAAAAGAAAAAATTTCCTGTTTTAGCTTCCCCTGTGTATAACTTTATGTATTGTTTGATGTATTTTTTTAGTACACAAAGAAAGAACTGATTCTTCTTCTCTCTGCCTCTGTGTCCTCTGTTATCATGCAATTTTACTTTCTTTTTTCTGACCAGAATGGTCATATGAGTGAATTGGAGCCATAATTAATGCCGAATTGTACATCATTGAGGCCGTTAATTAAGATCTCTTATGGCTCCAATTCACTTTATGTGTGTTGAATGTCAATCAGGTTACACATAGTTGGAGTATAAATTGGGTAAAAAGACAGAATTTGGAGAGAGTTGACTTTTTTACACGTGCGTTGACTTTGTCTGCACGTGCGTTGACTTTTTCTGGGAAAACATGCCAAATGTTTTAAACCTGTTTGGAAAGACACCAGAAGTATAAATAGGCAAGAAAAAGGCTGGATTAGGGTTTTGAAATTGTTTTGTCAAGAAAGGGAGACTAGGGTTTGAAAAGAAGAGGAACTTGAAGCTTTAAGCATGTCTCCCATGGTGGCTTCTTCTCCATCTACCTCCTTCCACTCCTCCATGAGTGGCTAATCTCATTTTCTAGGGTTCTAATGAAACCCTGGCCATGTTTGAACACTTGTATAATGTTTTAGAAGTTTCATATATATATATATATATATATATTTTTTCATTATTTCTTTAAATATTCTGCTTTCTGTGATTGTTGAATGTTTTTCATACAAGAGTTTTCTATTCTTTCACATTCAAGGTATGAGACGAATCATACTACGAGAGACGAGTCGTATCACTACCTTAGTTTAGAGTGAACGATTCGTACTACTTGAGATGGGTCGTGCTCGTACATTGAACGTGATGATTTTTTGTTAAATACTTTGAACTTGTAGTTACGAAGCATTATTCCGTTCAACCCACAACATAATTGTTTTCAATTTGAAAACCCTATTTACGTGACTAGTGGTGGACTCTTCACTCTAGGTTTTTTCCCAATTCAGTAAATCCATTTTTAGTTATAATTGATAATTTAATTATTTAGTTTAATTTATTCGTTATTAAATTAGGTTATGATCAATCAATCTTTCCATCAAAATTAATTTAGGAATTTATCAATTAAATTAATTTAATTTCACAATTGTTCATGTGGATCGATACCTGAACTTGTTATTATTCTGAAAAAATTTAATGTAATTTAATATTTAATTTTAGTGCGTTCAACGACCACCAAGCCAAAATTTTGAGTTCTTATGCTATGTGATTTTGATTTCCGACAACTGCACGAAAGTTTTGCGTAATGTAATTCTTTATTCTCCTTTGGTTATTTGGCGTTTTGTGCTTAAAGTCAATTAGGAGCGTATGTCCATGCTTATTTGTCTCCATAATTTCTTACCATGTATGTGAGAAATCCATTGAAGACTAATTATTAATTTGGTGAATTGATATATTGGTTCTTTATATTTTATTGTATATTGGTTCATTTTGTCTCCAACCCATTCATCATCTTGTCTGGTTTCTTGTTTTAAGGAAAGAATTTTACTTCTCTCGAGGATTTTTCCCCTGCTTTAGACCTACATATATATGTTACACTTCATATGATTTTGGCTCTTGACCTAAACTATATCAAATTATTTGTGTAGTCTTAAACACAGTCAAAAACGATTCCAAATTAAAGTTACTGTGGGCTCTTTTAGCTCAATAAGCAGTAATACGTGGTATAGATTCATTTTGCATATAGACCTTATAATACACACTTTCAATTTTTACTACACGCTTCATTTTTGACACAAATTCAAAATTGTAAATTTGAGCCCTTAGACTTATTGATAAGTGTCGCATTACAATCTCAACCTCAAGGGAGAGTGCCAAAATGTTTGTGGGGGAGACCTACATTATCCACATAGCAGGGACTTGGGAGTGGGACATGGTAACATTCAACTCGCTTCTAAATCTTGGTGGTTGCTTAAACTTGTTTGTCAGCTTACCACCCCTTATTTAACATGTTTGTTGAAGTGTATACATAACTAGTCCTACCAGAACTGTGACATAAAAATAGAGTCGAACATACTTAAATGGTTAAACAGTTGCCATTCTTTTACTCTTCAGATTTTGCATTAAAGCATGAGTTTCGGTAGGGTCAACGACCTCTCAATTGAGGCTTAAAAGCAACATTTTAATAGAATGCTCCTTTTATATTTAAATAATATTAATTTATTTATTTATTATTTATGTAAAATTCATGTTTCTATTCTTGTAAATAAAATTTGACCATTACTATTCAAGTTCAAAAATTAGATCCAATTTTAAGTTCAATGATGTATCAATCAATTAGGATATTAATGCAACACTCTCTCTCATATCTTCTCTATTTATCAACCAATCATATCACATACATATCATTGGATTTAGATTGTAGGCTTAGATATCATTTTCTATAAAATTTTGGTGATTTATCTACAAATTTTATTATTGGAGCTTTTGGTCAAGATTTTTTTTTAATTGGTTGTGCGAGGTGATTTTTCTTCGACTTTAAGATGATAAATAAATCTTGGATAAATTACACTGGACTTCCTTTAAGTTTGAAAAAATACAACAAGCCCTAGAGTTTCTACATAATCATATTGAGCTCCTCTAAGATTTTAGTCTATACTTAGTCTATTTTTATTATTAGTTTATTAACCATATAGATGAAAAAAATTGTATTATCATTTTTTTTGTATTGAAATATATATTTTCTTTATATATTTTTTGGCTCTTCACATCATTTGTATTAATTCAGGTCCTTTAATTTTACTAAAATGGAAATCAATATAATTAAGTTAAAATTGTGATGCTCGTTATAATTCACACATTGCAAAAACTCGTTTTGGGCCTTAAACAAGAAGAGTTTTGTTATGGGCCTTTCAATAAAGAGATTTATTCTGGATCGAGAAATGTTTTTCAACATTTCTCATTAGACCCAATGACATTTTTTTCCTTTGGATTTCTAGACAAAAGATTTTTAGTGGGTTTTTAAATCAACAATACTAAGAATTTAGACTTAATTTTTCATAAATTATTTAAAATTATTATCTTGTACTTCATATTTATCTTACTTATGGATTCCATACTATATAAATTTAGAAAAATGTTTCTGACCCCCTCAAAAACCGACCCCCACGACCCCCTCTGAGCTGGACAAGCACATGATCGGTCACGTGATATACATATCCTACGCACCTTCACTTTCAGAATTCAAAATCTTCTTTCAGAATTCAAAATCCTTTGAGCGAAATACAGCACCGCTCCTTCCCTTCACTCGGACGACAACTCTTTAACTCCCAACTTCGACGGTCGACTCCTTCAGCTCCTCCCTTTCACTCCGACGTCCTTGACTCCGACGCCCGACGCCCGACTATCGACTCTCTCTCTCTCTCTCTCTTTCCATCTCATTTGACGGACGACTCCTCCCCTTCTCCCCTTCACGCCAATGACAGGTCCTCCTGACGCCCTACTCTGTCCTCCCGAGTCCCGACTCCCTCTATTTCCACCCCATTGACGACGAGGTAATTTGGTGTATATATGTATATATCTATATATATGTATCTTGCTGAAATTAGGGCAAAATTCCTCAATCTGAAAGACATATTTTGTTGAAAGAGAAGAAATCAGATTTTTCTGAAAATGAAACAAATTTGTTCAAGATTTCCATTCTTTTGCTTGCTAATATGTTTACTTGAGTTGGCTTTATTTTTTTTTATTTTGTTTTTCTGTTCTTCTTGTTCTTTTTTATGTTAGTAATTCTTCTTTTCTCATATTTTCTCTGCAATCTTTATTCACCAAAATAGATATATACACCAAAATTCCTCAAAGTTGTAATTTAAAAAGAAGAAATTTTGACAATTGTAATCTGGTGTATATAATTCTTCTTTTCTCATATTTTCTCTGCAATCTAAAAAGAGTATGGCTATTCCTCAATCTGAAAAGAAGTATGGCTATGCCTATGGCTATTTAGTTAGAGGATTAACCAATTTCTTCATGTGTCATTACTTTGTCTGGACTATTGGAGATCAATTACATGGCATTTTGTTTGGTGAATAAAAGACCTATTCTGAGAAGGATCTCATTTTCTTACAGTTTTATTCAAGTCACTTTTGCTTGTTAATTTAACATGACACTAGTTTATGGAGGTAAATAGTTTATTAATCATTATATCCCCTACTCTTCAATTTTTTGTTGACATTGGCAATGAAACCTACACAAAATTATGAAGGTGAAATTACTTGTGCTTTTATGGAATTGTATTGAGAATTTAAAGTTCAATCATGTCATACATTCAGTTTATTTTTTGCATACTCAAAATATGTTCTCTTTTCATATGGATTCTTAATTTCTCATATTTTCTCTGCAATCTTTATTCACCAAAATAGATATATACACCAAAATTCCTCAAAAATGTAATCTGAAAAGAAGAAATTTTGACAATTGTAATCTGGTGTATATAATTCTTCTTTTCTCATATTTTCTCTGCAATCTAAAAAGAGTATGGCTATTCCTCAATCTGAAAAGAAGTATGGCTATGCCTATGACTGTTTAGTTAGAGGATTAAAAGTAGATAGGTAAAATCTGAAATAGCCATAATTGAGAAATCTGATTTTACATCATGTATAGCCAATCTTTCTTCTCTTTCAAAGTTTACCTATCAATCTTCCTATAAGTTGTCAATCTTCCTATTAACTACTGAGATGCAAAGCCATACTGATTAGTGCATAGCCATAGGAAGATTGAAATTATGTATCTCATTCAATTATCATGAGCTGAAATTATCTTTATTCACTAGTTTAATGATGATAACTTGTTATTGCAGATGTCAAGTTCAACTGTCAACGGCAGTAGCTCAGATCGGTTAACGTACTTGAACAAAAATTGTCCTGCATGTAATAAAAAGGCCACGATTCGAATTTCTGAGACCGATCGAAATAAAAACAAGTTATTCTACTCTTGTAATGGTTGTGGTACTTTCATTGGATGGTGTGTGCCTATGAACTCACAATGTGGAAATCATAAAATTCCAAGACAAGTAGAAAGAGAACTGCTAAGATCTATGACGGAACAATTTCAAGCTATGACCGAGCAACAAAGATCTATGACCGAACAACTTCGAGCTATGACCAAACAACAAAGATCTATGACGGAGCAACTTCGAATTCAGAGTGCAAAGATGCAAAAAATAGAATTTCTGATGTTTGTGTTGCTTATAATTGGTGTCTTATTACTTATGAAGATGTAATGCTAGTTAAAAGTAGAAGTAGATTGAACTATATTTTGTTATGGAATGGAATATGTATTAGTAAGAAACAGTTTGTTATTTTTTGAGTGGAATGGAAATGAATTGTTGAATTGTTATTGTTGAATTGTTGAATCAAGATGTGGAATGAAAGTGTGGAATGAAGATGTGTTATTATGGAATTGTTGTGGAATGAAGATGTGTTATTGTTGAATTGTTGAAGCCTTGATGATTTTCACATACAGATGATTTTGGTGCATGGAATGGAAATGAACCAACATGGAATGAACCATGACAGATTTTGTATTATTATTGTTGAATTGTTGGAATGAACCAACATGAAATGAACTATGACAGATGACAGATTTGTTGAATGAACCAACATAAACCATGAACCATGTGGAATGAACCAACATGAAATGAACCAACATGGAATTGTGAATTGTTATTGTTGTATTATTGAGCATGAACCATGACAGATTTTTTTACAGACAGATTTTTTACAGATTTGAGCATGAACCAGATATTGCATGTTTAAACTGTGTTATTGTTGATTTTGCATTTTGACAGTTCAATGAACCATGAACTGAAAAAATCAGATTTTGGCTCAAATACTGTCAAAATAGAAAACTAAAAAACAGATTTTCAAATTTTCAAAGACAGATCTTTAAAGACAGTTTGGCAGTTTGAACCATGAACTGAAAAAATCAGATTTTGGCTCAAATACTGTCAAAATAGCAAACTAAAAAACATATTTTTTTTTACAGATTTCTTAAACCATGAACTGTCAAGAGAGATTTTGCATGAACTCTCAAAAAATCATGCTCAAACACTGTCAAAATGCTCAAACACTGTCAACATAGCAAACTGAAACAGATTTTTGTACAGATTTTTTTAAACCATCAACTGTGAACTCAAAATGCTCAAAGACAGATTGTCAAAATAAATCATAAACTCAAAGACCAATCTTGCATAACCAATAAAGTGGGACTTAATAATAACCAATCTTGCAAATTCATACACAACATGTGTTACACATCTAATATGGGACTTAACATGATAAGTTTCAATCTCAAAAACAAAATGTCAATGTTCAATAAACTAGTCAAACATTTCTACAATGTCATTCATTTATTCCCGCTGTGCAATGTCCAGCATTCATTCCCGGTGTGCATGCATTAGAACCCGATGGGGTTAGAGATCCAGACCCAAACATTTGAGTTGAAGCACTCATCAAACTTCTCAGTGTGCCGCTTACAAAGTCCGATGGGATAATAGATGTGCCTCCAATAGCATTTACGACATGTCATAATTGAAGTAAAAAAGTACATGTTACAAAATATTTGTAAATGAAAACAAAAAATTGATGTAAAGTCGTCTTATGAACACATACCGGTGCATGCACACTATTTTGCATGCCAACCATATAAGGATAATATGATGTATAAGCTTGAGCTTGAGCTTGAGCTTGAGCTTCAAATTGAAGCACCTTAGCAGCCTATATTGGTTCAAGAGTTTGTAAAAATGTACTTGAAAAGAGTTTGTTAAAAAAATAAAAAACAAGTTCAATTCAATATACAATTTACCTTTGCTTTTGTTTGTTTTTTTGCCGTTGCCTTAAACCGATTCACTATTTGATCTACTTTGGCAACCTTTCGTTTCGTAACTGGACGGCCTCTTCGCCGAACAACCAAAGGACTAACCACCTTCTTCGTATTAGCACCCGATGTACAACCGGTGGCAATCGGACTTTTTCTAGAAGATGGTATCCTATTAGTAGAAGGTGGTAAATTACTCACATCACCTGATTCATCGTGCATGACTCTATCCTTCATTTCTATAGCATTTTGCATAGCTTTGCACTGATCAGTTATGATAGCTTTTGGAGGATTATTTGGCATGCAACTTAACCACGACTTGAATAGCCAAACAAATGTGTCGGTGTCTTCACTAGATAATAATCTACAACCAAGCAAAATAGACTGTCCATGGTGATTGACTCCTACAAATGGAGCAAATGGAATATCATATTTGTTCGTTAGATAAGTTGTGTCAAATGAAACAATATCTTCAAATGATTTATACATAGCCCGACTCCTTGCATCAGCCCAAAACAAGTTTCTAATGCGAAACTCCTCATCAACATCAATCACATAAAAGAATTTCTCACTATGTGCTTTCATCCTCATAAAATAACTTTGAAGTGATTCGGCATCGCCTTCACCAAGCCTTAATCTTCTAGCTCTATTAATGTAATTCCTTGCATCTCGCTCATCAAATGTCAATGACTCATATCCCCCCGCTTCAACAACCATTGAATGATAGTTCCTAGACACCCCAATCTTTGTTTGATTATTAATTTCTAATCTTCTCTTCACAGGAGTACGAATTTTCTTATTCATTGCAAAATGACGAGAGTCGGTGGGAATCAAATCATGATTATGCTCAAGGTTAACTGTGGTTAACATATATGTCCCATTCTTTTGTAGAGTACCTCTTACCCTTGCTTTGCAACCAATTTTTGTGGACAAAGATGGCTTCAAAGGGTTCACTTCTAATTTCTTTTTTCTCTCCCCCGCTCGAGAACATTCAATTGCAAAGTTTTTTAATTGGCCATCATCTCCAAAATGTTGTGCTCTATGAGCTATAGAAAAGCCAACATGCTTAGCATATGTCGAATAAAATGTGTACACTTCTTCCCTTGAGATAAAACACATATCCTTCTTAGGTTCTTCAACTTGTTTACCCTCATTTACTGAAGGATTGTCACCACCATTTGAATCAACCTCCATTCTATGAGGATCAAAAATAAAATTCAAATAAAATGATTTTAGAATAATTATGAAACTGTTATGTTCAACTTTACATTGTGATAATTTAAATTTATGGTATAACTAAATTATAGTAACTTCAATTTCAACCTCAACCTCACATAGTCATGGTATATGTGATTTTGAAATTGTTAACTTCAATTTCAAACTTTGAAACTGTTATGTTCAACTTCAACCTCACATAGTCATGGTATATCACAGAACACATATTAAACACTGTTAAAAAAAAAAAAAACCATACAGATGATTGTACTGTTATCACATATTATCACAGAGATTGATCAATGTCAACTTCAACATATTATCGCAGAACACATATCACAGAACACACATATCATAGAGATTGATCAATGTCAACTTCAAAAACTATACAGAACACATATTATCACAGAACACATCAACTTCAACCTCACTGTTATGTTAAAATGTTCATAATATAGACATTTCAACATCTGTATGTGAAAACCACCATCCAGTCATCTTGTTCAACTGCTTGGCTTAGTCAGTTAAGTTTGTCAACTTCTCAAAAACTAAATAACAAAACACATAAGATTTTGGTGACCTCTTTGGTATCCTTTCTAAAAACTGTTTCCTATGTTCAGAATTTAAAATGTGAAAACAAATAGAAAATTGTTCTGAAATCATTTTTCAAGAAATCAAAATCATTTTTCAAGAAATCATTGATTCAAGAAATCACTTTTCAAGAAATCATTTTTCAAGACCTCTTTTTTACAAAGCCCAGATTCAATAAATCATTTTTCAAGTTTTCAAAAGCTCACACCTAGTACAGAACATTGAATTTATTGTCAATTAGGAAAATGAATTCAACGTCTTTACTCTTTATTTATAAGATTATATACAGACATTTCAGATTGATCAATGTATGTAGATAGAGAGAGAGGGAGAATGAGGGGTTTTCGAGTAACATTACTTGACAAAATGTGAAGAACCCCTTTCAAAAGAATGTGATCGAAGATCTGTAAAGCGAGATACAGAGAGTTATGGCCGGAGAGCTATGGCCGTCGACGGAGGAGAGCTATGGCGGACGAACGATGGAAGAGGGAAGAGGGAAGAGGGACATGGCCGTCGACATTGTGGTAGCTTCCCGCTTTTTTTTTTTTTGTCTTTGTTCTCAGCCTATATTTTTTTTTTTGGTCTTACAGGTGCATGTATCACACCTTCCTCATTGTGCAATTGTTCTTCACATGACTTCAACAGCTGCTACCTCAGAGGGGGTCGTGGGGGTTGGTTTTAAAGAGGGTCTGTATCGCGACTGATAAATTTAATCTCTACTACACAACTACTCACTCAGAAAATTCTGGATTATTTTGTCTGGCTCCCACATTTATTCCTTTTAAATAGGGTGTACATATTTTTGGGCTTTGAAGAAGAATAATTGAAGCTTGAGGACCTTCCAACATTAGTGGCCCTCTTTTGAGTATCAACAACACTCTGTAATGTTTGATTTGTTTTTGACTGAGTTTAAAATTTGTTTAAAACTTATACATAAAATATTTTTAACTTGTAACTTTTCTGAATTAAAAAAAAAAAAATTGAAATTTTTAGAATACCAAAATCCATATTTGGTGCACAGAATTTAAAGTTTTTTTATTCATCTACTAAATAATTGGAAATTCAAACATGTGACATGAATATGATCACAATAACACTTGATAACAAATGAGAAAGAAATAAAAAATACAAATCCTACTCCGACATTAAACCATAATAATCATCACAATGATGCCGAAAACTCCAACCATCCATGAATAATGCTTGGAGATAGCAATCCCGGCCGCTGCTGAAGGCGAGACTGCCGGTGCTGCGCCGGTAGAAGGCGAAGCTGCCGGAGATTGGAGCAGAGGCAACACAGTTATGGCAAGCTTCATGTTTCCAGTGGCGCAGTGCCTGCCGACGCCGCACATGTACCATTTTCTTCCCGGGGTTAAGAAAGGGATAACGTCGTTGCCGGTAGTAAGAGCTACGGTGGTGGCCGGTGCCGCACATTGTTGGAACTCAGTTCCGTTCACTTTCAACACATTGTGAGCTCCTTGTGGGTAATTGAATACTGCAACAAAAAATGTGGTCAAGGCAAAATTGACTCTTTTTTTTTTAAAACTTTTTATTTAAACATGTGTAACAAAATGAAATTAGTTGAATTTTTGTAGTGTATTTTAAATTTTTTGATTATTTTAATCAATTCTCAAACATAAAATACTCGAAATGTTTTCACATCTACTTATAAATTTTCTAACTCCCTGCTTACCTATTTTCTCTTAAAAAAATAAGTAACAAGTTTTTGTTTTAATTCAATAAAAAAATAACAAATTACACTCATAATCTCTGTAGCTTGCCACTTATGTTAATTTGATCCTCATAGTTTTATATTACTTTTATGTTTGAATTTTTTATATATACAATTCAATTGATAACCTTTTTTTTTTATATAAATTTGATTGAAATTGAGAGATAAAATAATTCATTCATTCTACTCAAAATGATTGAGCGATTGATATTTAATTTGAAATCATTCTTCTTCTTCTTCTTTTTTTTTTTTCTATGGATTATTTTGTCCTATCCATTTTTTTAACGGAGTTAGCAATTGGATTAAACTGACACAATATAAAAAAAATAAAGAGAAAATTGATGCAATAAAAACAAGAGGATCGAATTGATAGAAGAAGCAAATTCATAAAGACTATGGTGCAAGTTATCGAATAAAAAAACTTCTTTAGTGTACACAAATATTTTGGAATCAAAATAATAAAAAAAAAACAAGTTTTGTTAATTGCTAGAAGTGGTGATCGCGGTAGAGAGAGTGGCTGGATGTAGTGGTCACCGGAATTGGTGGGTAGAGGATTAACAAAAGGTGGTTAGAGGGTCAGGGGGGTGGTCGGAGAGTCAACAACAGTTAGTAGTGATCGAAGGTAGTCACCAATTTCACTTTTATTAAACAAAAATAATATTATTTTAAATTTTTCAAAAATAAAAATAAAAATAAAAATGAAAACGAAAATGTTATTTTTAACATACTGAGATTGTCACCAACGCGGAAGTCTTTTCCCTGAGCCCAGCCCTGGTAATCGAAGTTCAACATCCATCCATTGTCATCCCCAACAATGTAGTCTGTTGCCAGTGTTGGAGATACAACAACACCAATTGCAACAATGGCTATTGCAACGAAGATCCTCAACGAAGAAGAAGCCATCTTGAAATATTTTCTACTTACTGAAAAATGCTCTAATTGACCACTTGTTTTTTTACCTCTCTGATGTTCTAATAAATTTGTGTATTTTTTTTTTCCGGGATGTTGATGGGGAGAGGGTTCAATTTATAGAGAGTTTTTGTAGTTTTTTAACAGTAGAGAATTAGCCGGCTAATGCCTGCATGAGATGGGGGCCTATTCAGTTAGCCAAATGTGTGTATGCAAAAAAAAAGAAAAAGAAAAATAAAATTAGGCAACCAAGTCAAATAATTTTAACAATTATTTATTATTCACTTATACTCTTTTTGGTTAACTAGGGTGAGAAAATATTCTTTAATCTCTTTATAGAATGATCTCTCTTATATATCATGATGAATAATAATTTTTTTTTTTTTTTTTAGAGATAAACAATCTATTTCATTTCATTCCAATTAACCAAATAATATGTTAGGACCCCCTCTAAAAAAAATAGTATGTTAGGAACACCTCCAATGAAAGAGAAAAACTAAGTTGTCTCTTATGTTGTGTTTGGTTGGGGGATTTAGAGAGAGATTTGGAAAGGGAAAGGGAAAAAGTGTGTGAAACTATGTGAAATATAGACATATTTTATTGATATTTTACCTACCTTTTCCGTTTCCCTTTCCAAATCTCTCTCCAAATCCTCCAACCAAACATAGTATTAATGTCAGGGGATAACAGTTAGCAAAGTTTTTTTACTCCAAAGGACATGTTAGAGCATCCTATGGGCTAGTTAAATTTTTGTATTTAAAGTAAAAAGTGATAAAAATTAGATATAATTGTGTGTAGTAAATGTTTGTTAATTTAAAAAGTGATTAAATATGTGTGAATATAAAAAAAAAAAAAACAAAAACAAAAAAAAGTGATAAAAGTTGTTCTCTCCAAACTCTTCTCCATAGTTAGCACTTGACACGAACAAACTTGTTGAAAATAATCTTAACATGTCATATGTTAAATCTTATTGTTACCTGTAACAAGCGAATAAACACAAAAGACAGAAAATTAACTCGAATTTAAAGTGCATTGTATATACATTTAAGTGGATCTATTTTTACTTGACACACGTTTTAATATCAATAGACCACCACTCATGCCTTAAATCAATAAACAGCAATTTATACATAAATTGATTATCACCTTTTACCATTTTTAATCAAATTAAGACAGAATATTAACCATCTCATTCTGTGAGGAATGAATAGGCCACATTAATTGAAGGTGAAAAGTAGGCAATTTGATCTTGACCTAGCAGTGTTTGTGAGCTTCCAATTGGCGTTTTTATTAAATTTTGCGATTGAGAATTAAGCATAATAAGAATTTTGGCTAAAAACAAACTACTTTCGTGTTTTCATGTTTTCGGCTCCATGTCGAAAAATCCTAATTTTTATATGCTAGTCATTAATTAATCGGTATATTAATTTCTTTGAGTTGTCTGATAGTTGATCAATTTTTGTTTTTTTGTTTGTGCTTCTTAGCTAGGGAAATGGTCAATAGTCAATAGTAGTGCTTGTAATTCTCTATGTGACAATTAATGAATAACATGGAAGTTTTATTTTTACATTAATGTGAATTTGAATTTTTTATTTTTTTATTTTTGCTAAAATGGAGAATGTTTAGTATATGGGGATAGAATAAAGTGGAAATGAAATAAGAGAAAAAATGAAATATAATGTTGAATGAAATAGAATTTCCATTTGCATTCCACTAGTTGGTTGCTAATGGAATAGATTTTTTTTATTTATTTTTTATTTATTTTTATCAAACTAGCAACAACTAAATTAAATATATGTAAATCATAATAGTATTGATAGGTGTAGAAGTGATGATGTGAGTAATGGTAGTGGTGATGGCTGTGACTAAGGGGATCTAGGGCAATCGCATTTTAAATTTTTTTAAAAATATCATATATTATACTAGAAAATTTAAAATAATTTAAAATTATATAAATTTATACTTCCAAATATATTTTCCCACTATAGTGATAATCCATCCCTAACTATGACATCAGTGTTAGTTGTAGTGTGGTGTTGCGGTGGTGATGATAGGCGACAACGTACGATACTAGTATGATAGTGGTGGTGTTAGTAAAGTTAGTGTTGTGACGTGGTGATAGTGGTAGTAGTTATTGTAATAAGATAATAGTAATATCGGATGGTAGTTGTGACACACAGAAATGATAAAGACTTTTTTTAGTCCTTTAATCTTTACAATCTCCACATACACATGTCAACTAGAGATAGAAGAGACAAAAAATAAAAAAAAATAAAAAATTAACCAATTACAATGCATTGGGGTGACGAGGGATTCCCAAAATGAAGATCCCAAGCTTTTTCCTTGTGGCATAGATGGTGATAGCTAGTAGGGCGACAGAAGTAGTATGGTTGTTGTGGTGGTAATGGTAAAGTGGCATAGATGGTGATAGCTAGTAGGGCGACAGAAGTAGTATGGTTGTTGCGGTGATAATGGTAAAGTGGCTGTGGTGTTAGGTCTACTAGTCATACGTGGGAATGAGAGTTTTTTTTATTTTTTTGGATAAATTATCAACACCCCCTCGAAGTTTGACGAAAATATGAATTCCTTTATGAGGTTTGAGAAATTACATCACATCCCTTGAGATTTATATTTGTGTAACAAATTGTCCCCTGAGGTTTACATTTGCGTAACAAATTACCCTCTCATTTGTTATACAAATATAAATATCATAAGATAATTTGTAATTTTCTAAACCTCAAGAAAAAATCTGTATTTTAGTTAAATATTGAGGGGTGTTAGTAATTTGCCCTTATTTTTTTTGATGAAACAAACCATGCTTGTTATTTGGTGATAGTTTTGGTAAAAGAATTTTTTTTTTGGGGTGATTTGTTATTTAAAATTCATAGAATAGAAAATTAAAATTGTATGCATTACACATTGTTTCATTCGGAAATGGGTCACTGTTGCGCTAAAACACAGTACTAACTGTTATGTCTTAATTTGAGGTGTATTACGGGCTTATTTTTATAATCTAAACCGTCATTTTATAGGGTTTGTTAGGTACTTCATGCCTACCAAAAATCATATTAATCGCATATTAATTACTATATGATCGAATTGCATATTTTTTATGCTATTTCTCAAAAGAAAAACTTATTGTTTATTTTTTTTGGCTATTGATCATATAGTTATTGATATCCAATTAATATAATTTTTGGTAAGCATGAAGTACTCAACAAACCCTACAAAATAACGATTAAGATCATAAAAATAACAACTCCGGTTGGTAGCTCGAAATATCAGAGGGTCGAAAGGCTCGAAATCCTAAAACGACGTCGTTTTAGGCTTTTTTTGTATTCTCTTACCGGTAAGAGAATATTTTCGACCCATTCGACCCTTCACTTTCGAGCTACCAGCTATTTTCCTAAAAATAAATTCATAATTCGCCTCAAATTCAATCACAACTGTCACTGCTGTGCCCAATTCCTTGTTTCAGCCGTATGTGATGACGTGATCTTACCACATGTACACGGTTCCGCGGATTTTACCATATGAATTCGCAAGATTTAACCGTTTCAATATACATTCGCCTATTATCTAAATATACGTCTATCCATATTATTAAATATGTGAATACTGACTTGATGTTTAGAAGTATAGTAATTTCTCATTTTGTTACGTAATAAATTTTTCTATTCTAAAATAAAAAAAAAATTTATTCAAAGACTTGAATAAGATTTAAACCTAAGACTTTGAGTTTCATTAAAAATACTCTTATCATTTAAACAATATACATATTATAATATTAATTTCTTTATTATTTGTTTTTATACTTACTTATCTAAATTGCATATATATTACATATGCCACCCCTAATATATATATATATGATTTTCCTTGTGAACTTGGAATAAGCAATGCATTATTATAAGCAATATATATGCAAAAAAAAAAAAAAAAAAAAAAGAGAGAGGTTAAAATAGATATTTTATTCTATTTTATTTTATTGTACCAAACGTGTTACTAGAGTTATCTAGTGTTGCAAAAGTCCAATTATTAAAACAAAAACAAAACAAACAAAAATGATTTTAGTTCAGGAAACGGTGAGGGTAAGAGAAAGATCCTAAATATTTGAGAGCCAGGTTAAGAGAAAAGTTAGGGATTATGAAATTTTTTTCATTAAAATGATCATGAAAGATTTATGATTCTTGGATTACCTTGATTAGTGTGTGGTGCTTTATTCTAAATATAATCCAAGGATCACAAAACTTTCATGATTATTTTCATGAAAGGTTTTTCATGATGCCTAGCATTGCTGCCAAGTTAATGAAGGGTGAGACATTTAAGAGTGGTTTGGAAATTGCATATTTTAGTTAAAAAACTTAGAAAGTGATTAAAAAGCTCAAAAAAGTTAATAAACTTTTAACTCATAAAAAAATTTAAAATTTCTTTAATTTATTTTACTTTTTACATATTTATTTGTAAAAAATTAAAAAATCATTTTCAAATATTTGATTTTTTCATCTTATATTTTAGTAAAAAAGTTACTAAAATAGTCACTCCATATGTTAAAGGCTTAGGTTTTGTTTGGTGCAATTTACAAAGTTGGTTATATATATATTTTATTAATTTTTATTTTTGAAGTTTTTATCAATTTATAATGTAACTTTTATTTACAATTTATAAAGTAAAAATAACTTAAATAAATTAAAAAAACATTATTATTTGGAGGCTAAGAGAATATGCATTTAACTTCCATGTTCTAATTATGAACCTTAAGCTTAGAATTTTTATTTTATTTTTCTTTTGGTAAACTATTTTTATTGCTCAAAATACGATTTAAAGGCAACAAATCTCTCCATCAAAATGATCATAAAAGAAAAAGGGAAAATAGCAAGTCAGATAAAATTTATAATTAATTACAAATGCATGATAAAATTTATAATTTTAGTTTTTAATATCTATAAAATTTATCATTATTTTGTAAATATATATATATATATATTTTTTAAATATAAACTTAGAATGAAATTACCCCAAAGAAAAACCTAACTAATCAAAAGAAAACCTCTCACAAAATTTACCATGTGATATTTACATGAATATGATCACAATAACACCTGATAACAAATAAGTGGGAAAAAAAAAATGAATAAATAAAATCAAAAATGCTACACCAATCCAACATTAAACCATAAAAATCATCATGAACATGCCTAAAACTCGAATCATCAATGCATAGTACTTGGAGATAGCAATCCCGGAGGCTGCCGAAGACGAGTTTGCGCTGGGCACTGCACCAGTAGAAGGTGAAGCTACCGGAGATTGGACCAGAGGCAACACGGTTATCGAAAGCTTCATGTTTCCGGTGGCGCAGTGGTAACTGCAAATGTACCATTTTTGTCCCGGGGCTGTCAGAGGGATTATGTCGTGTCCGGTAGTCAAAGGTACGACGTTGGACGGTGCTGTACATTGTTGGAACCCAGTTGCGTTCACTATCAACACATCGTGAGCTCCTTGTGGGTAGTCGAAAACTGCACCAAAAAATGTGGTTAGGAATTTAAACACTCGAGACGTTTTCGCATGTAATTTAAGTTTTTTTTTATTTGCACAGCAATTAATCATAGAATTAGACATAATTTTTTTACATGAGTAGATGTGAAACTCGTTGCATATGAGAGAGTTGTGCCCAATTCTATTATCGATTTATGTTTTTGTTAAAAAAAATTTCTGTAAATTTTGGTAGCTAATGGTTTAGTTTAAGAATTGAAGGACCAACTTGCGTTATGTATGATGGTTTTGTAAAATTTGGAGCCAGACTTAAATTGTAAAAATCATAAAATTAAATTTATCTGAACCATTGAGATATTGTTTGGTTGGATCAGAAACCATAGCCATCAATAACAATTTGCTTATATATCGTGCAAAATTCATCATCTTTAAAAAAAAAATTCAACCTACTATCATTTTTCAAACAAAAAGAATCAAACCATAGTTTTTCCAAAATAAAATAGTTATAATTTTTCAGCCATTAATTAAACATCTGAATTGTTCCTCACAAATTTAGGAGTATTGTGAAGCAATCACTGTTCAGTACCGACACTATTATGAGATTAGGTACATGTATATAAGCTTTATGAACGAAATATTGGATGAAACAAGCTATAAATTATGGTTGACTAAGATTCAATTGAACATTGAAGAAACCAAATCAAACAGTTTGATCTAGGCAGCCCAGGCTGATTTAAGATTTTTTTTTCATTTAGATTGTAGAGAGAGATTATTAACATACTTAGTCTGTCGCCAACACGGAAATCTTTCCCCATAGCCCAAGCCTGGTAATTATAATCCAGCAACCATCCATTGTCATCCCCAACCGTGAAGTCGGTTGCCAGAGTTGAAGGAAGAGTGATTGCAACGATGGCGATCACAACCAAGATCCACAATGAAGAAGCCATCTTAAAATTTTCCTACTTGTTTTTCAACTCTATGATGCCTTAATGAGTATGTATTTCTTTCATATGGTGTTGATGGGAGTTTCAATTTATAGAATTGGTTGGTTTTTTTAACAGTGGAGAATTAGCCAGATAATGACGGCAAGGAGACCTTTTCAGTGGCTAAATGTGCAAACAAAGAAAAGAACATTGGGCAATTAACCAAGTCAAATGAATTTAACAATGTTATATTTGACTTGTTTTGAGTTAGGTTGTTAATGTGAAGAATTTAATAAACCACATCAATTGAAGCTGCTGAAAACTTACACGGTGATCTTGCTGACCAAGTGTTTGAGCTTCCAATTGACCTTGTTATATTTTGTGATTGTGAATCAGCACAAGACTTTTGGCAAAAAACAACCTATTTTCATCTTGTTGACTGAGTTTTCTCCAGTTGGCCGAGCTAACTAAATCATCCAATCTGGTCCATTGTAAGCCTATTTCAACCATCTAAATTGTTCATTCTGTAAATTGAGAATCTAAAAACTTGCGAGATATGAATTTGTGATTATAATTCAATTTTTAAAAATGAATATCAATCACAATTAAACAATCAATAATAAATCGGCACAATGATTTGATGTGAAAAAAATCACAATTGGAGCACCTGTAATTGCGATAAAAAATCATAGGCCAAAATCATAAAACGATCCACTAAGAAAACAAAAGAATTACACACGAGAATCCTCAATTACCTAACGAATCCATGCCCAAATTGAACCAAATCTGATGTGTCTCTTCCACCACCGTCTTCACCTCGGAATTGCTTTGCCCAAAGTTAAATCCACAACGATGAGTGTCACGACCCAAACCCGCCCCTAAGGGTTTAGCATCGTAACCGGCCAGTAATCCGAGATTACCGAAGGCCTGCTTAACAGTAATACAGTAATACAGAGTACAGGGGCTGGCGGAAGCCAATATAGTAAATAAACAATGTCCAATGAGCTGTGACAGTCTGTATGCAAAAAGACTTTTCATTCAAATATACACAGTAAGACAAAACAGTATGTACATATATACAATCATTCAGTTCAGGGACCTAATCCCTATTAAACAGTACAGTACAGTCTATACAGTCATACAAATCAGATACAGAGACAGACGGGGAAATTAAAAACACTCCTAAGCCGTAACTTAACAGGCTCGGAACCTCGCATTGAGGCACATAGGTTGGCTCGACAAAACTGGAGTTTACCCCGACGCTTCTAGCTGCGGTCTGGTGCCTGCACACCTACATATATATATGAGCAGTGAGCTAAAGCCCAGTGAATAACACAATGCGTAAAGGGGTTAAGAATGAATGTCCTTACAGTAATGAAAACAGTTCATTAAATCAGTATTTCAGTCGTTCAGTCGATACAGTCATATGTGGTATATCCATTAGCATAACAGTACAGTAAACGGTAGGTCTTAAAAGACCGAACAGTAAATGATGGCCATCAATCAGTAACAGTAGTGGTTCCAACAAGGGAACCGACAGAGATCTCTGTAACAGTAACAGTAAACAGTAGTTGCTAAGGATGCCACAACACAATTCAGAATATAGGACATACATTCATTCAATTAACAGTATCAGTTCAAAAAGCAGTACAGTTCAATTGTTCAGAAGATAATCATTTTGAACATATCTTTACACAGTTGTTACTCACAGAGTTCTGAGCTACGGTAAAGCTAGAGCGCGTCCCCAGTCACCAACCCTACACAGTTTACAGATCGAAAACACACTAAGCTACACAGTTGGGAAAGATAATAACTTAATTCCTAATTTGCCTCGGTGTGGTTCTACATCTATATCCTCACTAAGATGCCTTAAACTAGGCCTACTAATGCCTAGGATGAGATGAGGATGCAAAGATGCACTTTAAAAGCATTTTCAGAATTTTCAGAAAACAGGGGTCACGATTGAGCGTAGGTTACTCCGCTCGAGCGGACATGCAGACAAGGGTTTCCGCTCGAGCGTAGAATTACCTGCTCGAGCATTCTGCAAAACAGTCAAAAGTGCTGGATAGGTGAAAAATACGCTCGATTGGGCGCTTGACACCCGCTCGTGCATAAGACACAATGTCCCGCTCGAGGGTCAATTATACCGCTCGAGCGAACTTCAAAACAGAACAAAATGCTGGGAGCACGATTTCCACGCTCGAGCGCCAGTCACCCCGCTCGAGCGTGAGTCCAAATTCTGGAAATTCCAGATTTGAACCTCAAGCTCAAAACCAAGTTTTTAAATCATAAATTTCGATCCTCTAGGACCAATTTTCCAGAAAACATCCCAAAACTCATACTTTAACACGATTCAAAGCTCAATTTGTAAAATCAAAGCCCAAGGGTGTTTCAAACAACTCAATTCAAACCAATTTTCATGAATATGGAGAACATGCAAACACGCATGGATTAAAACCATTTCAAAGCTTCAATTTGATGCTCTAAGGAGCCAATTGTTCCAAAAACAAGATGAAAACATGGTCCTAAGCATTAACATGGACATGTATGCAAAAATCCATGAAGAACAACCTCAAAAATGCAAGAGTATGCCATGCATGCCAAGATTAAGCTTCAATTCAACACTATTGAACCAATTCATGCCTTAAATCACTAAAGACCCAAAAAAATATGCAAGAATAAGTTCAAATACATAATAAAGAAGGTCAATGATCTACCTTAGGTCTTGTAGTCTAAGAAGGGAGCTCAAATATGCAATCTCTTCTACAATTTCTTCAATTTCCAAGCAAAACACAATCTAGAACTCAATTTCTCTCCCTCTAACTCTCTTGGTCGGCAAAACAATGAAAATGAGCTGATGAAGAGTTGCTTAAGCATATAGTAAGTCTCAAACATGGCTCATGTAGTGGGCCACTAAGTGTGGCAAAATGGTAAAATAGTGTAACAATGCAATTTAACTCGTTTTAATCCAATTTAATCATACCTAATCAGTTTTCAGGTAATTACACCATAAAATCACATAAATCACGATGATCATAAAACACTAATCGGTTTCCGGTTCGGCCGCCGATAAGGCCCTCAATTAGCAGTTTAAACACAAGACACAAACAGATAATCAAATAACCAAACAGATAGAATTACAATTAAACAGGTATACTCAGTCAATTCAGTTTCAATTTCAGTCAGTCAGTTCAGTAATTTATTCAGTTCACTTATCAGTCATAATCAGTTTCAGTTTAACGGTAATCAGTGGTTATTCGATAAACAGTGGCGAGGGTTGTTACAGTCTCCCCTCCTTAAAAAGAGTTTAGTTCTCTAAACTCGAGTTACCTTCGTTTTGGAAGAAAATAGGATTCAGTAGAAATAGTTCAGGATATCTTTTAGCCATGTCATCTTCCCTTTCCCAAGTGGCATATACGCCACCATGATTCTGCCAGTCAACTTTCACTAATGGGATCTCTTTTTTTCTCAACTTCTTGATCCGTTTGTTTACAATCTGAATAGGCCGTTCCTCGTAAGTGTAGTTATCACTCAGCACTACACGAGTAGGCTCTATCACGTGGAAAGGATCCCGGTGGTAGTCCCTCAACATAGAAATGTGTAAGACGTTGTGCATATGCTCCATTTCAGGAGGAAGCGCAACTTGATATGCCACCGGATTAATTTTCTCAATTATCTCATATGGTCTGACGTATCTCGGCGCCAACTTGCCTTTGACTCCAAAACGAGTCTGGCCTTTCATCGGTGTCACTTTCACAAACACGTGATCACCCACTTCGTATTCTCTATCCCGCATTCTGACATCAGCATAACTTTTCTGTCTGTTCTGTGCGGTTTTCAGTCTCTGTTGTATCAGTTTCACTTTCTCAGTCGTATCGTATACAATCTCGGACCCAAGCAAAGGCCCATCTCCAACTTCTGCCCAGCAAATCGGAGATCTACATTTTCTGCTATACAGTGCCTCAAAAGGCGCCATACCAATACTTAAATGATAGCTGTTGTTGTAGGCGAATTCAGCTAATGGCAAATGGCTTTCCTAGTTTCCCTGAAAATCAAGGACACACATTCTCAGTAAATCCTCCAGAGTCTGGATGGTCCTTTCTGACTGGCCATCGGTCTGAGGATGATAAGCACTACTCAGTCTCAATTCAGTACCCAATGCAGTCTGTAAGCTTTGCCAAAATCTCGATGTAAACTTCGAATCCCTGTCAGAAACAATGGACACAGGCACTCCATGCAGTCTAACAATTTCATCAATATAGAGTATAGCCAATTTGTCCGCATTATAAATTGTCTTAACAGGTAAGAAGTGAGCAGATTTAGTCAGTCTATCAACAATAACCCAAATCGAGTCCATACCTTTACTGGAGCGAGGCAATCCCACAATAAAATCCATAGTAATATGTTCCCATTTCCACTCCGGTATCGGTAAGGGCTGCAATAAGCCTGCGGGTCGTTGATGTTCGGCTTTAACTTGTTGGCAATGAAGACATTTCGATACAAAATCAGCAATTTCTTTCTTCATTCCCGGCCACCAGAAATTCAGTTTCAAATCACACATGTCCGGATCACTGTACAACAAGAGTAAACCCGGGATCGCTATAATCTCCCCCCCTTCCAACTTAAAATCATGTTATATCATGGATATATAAGCATGAAAAACAAACCAAACATGCTCAACACACACTCAAGCATAGGCTTCCTTAAGAGGCCAAAATATGCCCTTTTCAAGGACAACAAGGAGAGGGGGTGGCCCTCTCCTTCTTGGGACTTCAAGGCATCATCTTCACCACTGAAATCCCTCAAGATTTCAGTGGTGAAGAGACCCCAACACCAAAATCCCGGAGCTAGCACAAAATGGCTCAAAATGAGGCCTTTCAAGGCCTAAGGGTGTTCAAACTTACTCAAACCACAAAACACTCTTAACAAACAACCAAGAGGGTCTAAAAAAAGAACTTTTTTGTGTTATACAATAAGCACGAAAACTGCTCTAAGATAGGTAGAAAATCAATGCAAAAATGGGGAATAAAGGTGTTAGTTTCTTACCCTTGATGACCCCTTCAACAATGGTGCTCCAAT